TCGAGTAGTTGACCTGTGATCAGTCCGTGATGACTCTTCAAGGCCTCCACAATGAGGCGCTGTATTCCTTGCTCGACTTGTCGTGATCTGGGCCTGCAGAAGCGCCGGAGTCGGGCGGGCGGGATGTATGTGCGCCGGATCGCATGGTCAGGAGCTTTTCGTACTCGGCCTTGGCGATCGCCTGCTTCTCCTCCTCCGTCTTGACGGGAGGAGGCGTGCGCTCTCGGGGCGCGGGTCGGTACTTGTCGCCGCCATCACGGGGACGGCGTTCGTCGCGTTTGAAGGCGCGGTCGCGATCGCGCCGAGGGGATCGTGGTGCTCGAGGAGGCGGGCTCTTGGCGCCTCCATCGCGAGGTGATTCAACCTCTGCCGAGGCCATGGTTTCGCGCGTTGACCCAAGGATCGACGTCGAGGCAGAGTCTGTTCAAAGTCTCACGAGGTTGCCTGGCGCTAGGTGATGATAGCCTTGGGTCCAAGGCGTTGTGTCTTGAGTTGGGAGCTGGAACTTTTTTCCCGAATGCGTTTAAGCGGATGTGGCTGGGGCGGCCCGAGCGTCTTGCGATCTGCAGCACTTGGTGGCTTCACTTCGACGTCAACATTGGGTGATTTCACGGGGGCGAATGTGCATATGAGTTCAGTTGACGAAAGTGATATCATGAGAAGCGAAAAGGCCAGGCAGCAAAGTACACTTTGAATACATCTGCACAGCACACAGCTGCAGCCTGGCGTTGAGGCCGCAAGACTAATGAGAATGTCACGGTCCGCTGACTAATCAACATCCGGTAGCATGCCAGAGTGGTTAATGGGTGGGATTTGAATATGTCTTCTGTATCCTATGGGTTTGCCCGCGCAGGTTCGAATCCTGCTGCTATCGTATACTTTTTGGGTTTATTCTCTCGGAATCCGGTTTAGCATGAAGGGCGGTTCCATGGCGAAGGCAAGCTTCTTTCTGTTCGACCAGCACGAGCCAGGGTATATCGTCTGCGGAGCCGTGCTTGACGCAGCCATATGACGCCCAAGAGAACACAACAGGCCATTCACAAGAACGTATTTGCTCATCTTCTTGAGATGATTGTGAAAACAATCCAAAATGGTCAATAATGCAGGGAGATAGATAGATGGCTCATGGCCATGCAAAGGCGCATGGCACTCCTCCATCAAGCCCCTGTCAGTCAACGCCAAATTAAGCCACAGATGCGCCGCGGCCTACCCACCAACATGCGCCACACTTCACCACCCCCTGGAAATCCCAACCCAAACCTCCACGACACATCGCGCGCCGCCCGCGACGAACCCTCCACCAGCACCGCAACCGCAAACCCGCAACAAACTGGGACCTCTCTCCACCGAGATTCCCCATCGAACTCGCCCAGCGCCCGTTCCCACGCTCCTTACGCGCACGACTTGCCCAAAAGTCGCCTCGACAATGGTCCGTCCAAATCCACACACTCCAACCCTCCACCTCCTGACCTTCTCCCCCCCCCCCATCTCGCCCATCACGCCCATCTCTCTTCCCCTCCGCCGGCCAGATAGCCAGCGCTCCGTCAGCAGCGACAGAAGAAAGAGAGAGAGAGAGAGAGAGAGGACACAATGTCGCTAACACAAGCCCCTTCAAAGCTCGACAAACTCGTCGGCCTCGCCATGCTTGTGGCCGCCTCCGTCATATTCACCTACTACACCATCTGGACGCTCCTCATCGTACGTCCTGTCTCCCCACCCCCCCCCCTTTTCCTGGGCGCAAAAGTCTCTCCCGTACCCCAATCTCTCGCCCCGTGCCGCGGGCCACGCTCGGCACAGCTGATGCGAACCCCGAGAAGCAAAAGGGGGGCAAAGAAAAATAAGGAAAGAAAGATCCTGACGTGTCCACAGCCCTTTGTCGACGACGACCACCCGCTCCAGAGCCTCTTCCCCGCCCGCGTCTGGGCCATTCGCATCCCCGTCATCCTCATCCTCCTCGCCTCCGCCGTCGTCGGCTCCTTCCTCGGCACCGTCATGATCCGAAGCAACAAGAAGAAGGCCGCCAAGGCCAAGGCTGCCGCGAAGAAGAAGGCTTAAGGGAGCTGTCGTCGAGCGTCGAGCGCTATGAAGTTGCCAGGGCGAAGAAAAGGGGTGCGAGGCCGGGGGTCGCGCAGTTCACGCCGGAGGTCAGGCGCCTGCTAGAGGTTGCCGTCCCCATTAATCAAGTGCGCGTGGTCCACGGTCACGCAACACGAATCCAGAACACCGGGGAGGCCATCCAGAAAATGGGTATCTACACGGTTGTATTCGGCGGGTAGCCTGCTTGCCAGCCCACTTGCGCCCGAATTCGTCGCAATGCCACGTTACCATGAAAAACAAAAAACTAGTAGCAGTACTTTGCAAAAGCCATCAAGCCATCCCTCAGCCCACCAGTCGTTGCCAGAAGAGCGAGTGACCATGAGTAGACTACGCTAGTGTATTGCGGTCGTCTCTCACCATGCCGATGAAACAAATACTCCACGCAGCCGTTTCCCTTGGAGCAAAGCGTAGCCTCGACACCACAATCAACCAGACTAACTAACCCCTGACCACTTCGCGACCTTGTTCAGACTCTCTGGTCCGCGAAATCGAGAACCTCGCAGTCGTCCTCAAAGAATCCGTCCTCGTCCTCTGGGTGGCGTGCGCCGCGGCGTCGCCGCGTCGTCACCACAATCTCGTCTCGATTCTCCCCCACATGCATCACCCGCTCCATCGAAGTCAGGGGGAGAGCGCGCGGGTCGTCTGAGGTGTTGAAATCCTCGTCAGACAGCTGTACGTGGCTCAAGTCTAGCCTGATGAGATCAAGCTTCTGACCAAACGCCCATGGCTGAGAAAAGTCTGCTGCAGGGGCAGCGGCCTGGACCTGCATCCGCTGCTGCTGCTGCTGTTGCTGCTTCTTCTTCTGTTGCTTCGAGGTTGCCTTGTCCTCGAGGTTGATGTCGCCGAGCATCACCGTCAACGCCGAGGCGTCCGCATCGCCCGCAGCGGGACCATACTCGTACAGCGCGACACGCCTGTCGGTGTGGAAAGGCTGGTACGGTGCACTCGACTCTATCTCTGCCTGGGGGATGGATGCCTCGGGGCTGAAGTCAACCTGTACCGTTCTCGCACGTGGTTCGAGAGTCAGAGTGTTGCATGCGTCCATATCCTGATCGGACAGTTCGAGAGCCTCGTCGCCCTCGATGAATTGCTTCACTTTGGGTGCCATGTCGCCATCGGGAAGCGAGGGCAGCTTCATATCCTTGTAGCGGTTGCCCTTGGGGATGCGCTGCTTGTCTGCCACGCTCGATGCTCGCCGGGTCTTGGAAGGGAATGTTCTCACCAGTCCGTCGCCCACGACGTAGAGCGAGTGATACTTTCTACCCGTCATCCACATGACGCACGATGCCGAGGGCAACAGGGTGCTCGGGGGTAAGGACACCCTGTTTTCCCCCGTGTGCCGCAGCTGGTTGATTGCTGTGCCTGTCTTGCCCAAGGAATGGCTGATGGTCGCAGCGATGGCTCTGCCGCCTTGACTGGCAGAATCGACAAAGTTGGAGCCGTGCGTCCCGTTCTGACCCGCAGCAACCGCACTGCTCCTACGCGGCGGTGATCAGCGGCCGAGCCGCTACGAACGCGCGCCAAAGGCGTTGGAGGCAATCGAGACGGCAGTGCTGGACGTTTCAGACGCAGGAGCACCGTTCGGTTCTGCCTCCTTCCGACGGCGGGGCGGCGGCCAGGTATAAGCACTTTCGGGCATGTCGAGCAGGTGCCCCGTGCCGCGCTCCGTGACCATGGCGATTCGCTCACCGTTGGGTCGCGACCATGTCACCTCCACGATGCGTGCTACCGTCATGCGCGAAAAGTGCGCGATCTGGCGAACCCGTGGTCCAACAACGCTGGCCGTCGTCGAAACTTGGAGCGGAGACGACTTGGTGTACTGGATGCTGAAGAGATCCCATACGGTCTGCACGTCACCCTTGCTACTGGCCGTGAACAAGGACAGCCCGGAAGGCGAGAAGGACAGGAAGCTGCAGCCGAGCGGCGTCGGGAACGCAGTGACGGGGTGCAGGGACGCAGAGAGCCCCCATGGTTCCCATGTCGACGATGGAAACAAGAGCAGGATCCTTGCTGGCTGGCGTCTGGCCCGGCGTCGCATGCGTCGGCGGAAACTGGACCGCATCCGATCGTGGAGGGTATGAACCAGGCCACTGCTGGGCGGCCAACGTTGGTGACCGAGGCTGCCGCTGCGGTGCCGTGTTCTTGTTCCAGTAGGCGTTCCAAGCCTGCATACCCTGCTGACCTACCCACTTGGCACCCGAGATGAGCTCCTGGGTGGTCTCGCGCATAATCTTGTTCATCACACCCTCTGACATGGCCGTGTCGATCGCGGAGGTCACAGCCGGAAGTCCTGGAGGCGTTACCGAAGACAGGGTCGGGCCTTTACCGAGCACCGGAACCGGAACGTGAGCGCGAAGAGTGATCTGCGTAGAAGGTGGGGGAGGGCAGTACGCGATCCATCGGCCATTGACGGCGAAGATCGGGGTGTGCGGGTTCGGCTTGGGATGCGTGGAAACCGGTGCGGGGGATGACCGCCTCTCAGACTCTTCGGCCACCTCGCCTCTTGTAGGTTGCTGGAGGCTGGTCCAAAGCTTTCCCGTGCAGCCAAAGTGAAGTTTGCCGTCACCGTACGATCCCTCGATGGTGGCGGTACAAGCCATATATCTCGCCGGTGGAGGCCCGGAAGCCACAACGATATTGCGGCGTCTGCCTTGATCACCAAGCGGATCCGGTTGGCGCAGGCGCCTGGAAGACAGGGCTTGTGATGGCTGTGGCAAGAGGAATCTTGGGCGCCAGGAGCAGCACATCAACAAGTTTGTTGGTCTTCAGGGAGTACAGCTCGACAGCGGTCTGATAGTATTCGATGGTGGCGCCCGACCGAGCACCCGAGGTCTCCCTTGCTGCCGCTGTCAGTTCGAGGACTACCAGGCGGCTCGGGCCTGTCTTCCGAATTGTTGTCTTGCGCGGCAGAATGGCCTTCGTGTGAGCCCTGTGGCAGTACGGGGCCGTGGACAACGACAGCAATGAGGGGGTACAGAGCCGTATGGTCACCCGAGGCAGTCCAGGGCAGAATCTTGGCGTTGTAGACGCCTCCGCGCAGACCTCTCAGTCCAGCGACACGTTCCACACCTCGCTTGGTCACGGAATGAACCTCTAGGCCGCCTTCGTAGCCAGTGATGACAACATTGTCGGAGCCAGGAAGCGCCGCCGTGCTTGGGGAGGGCAGCGTGTCGAAGCCAAAGTGGTAACCGTTCTCGCCGGGCTTCATCCCGTTCTGGGGCGCTATGTCGAGATCAAGATCCGGCGCGCCATAGAAATGGGCCTGGGGGTGATGGGGAGGAGGTGGATGAGGAACGACCCTGCCCTGGGAGAAGGGCGACTGCATGGAGGCGCGACGATAGGCTGCGGCAGATGCCTGCGCGTGGGTTTCCACGGGAAAGTGGGACTCCTGCTGGAAGCTCAGGGGGCGACGGAAGCTGTTGGGATAGCTGTTCGGGACGCTGCTCGGGATGCTGTTGGGGGGCGAGGGGGAGGCGGGCTGGGACGGGATGAACTGGCGGTGGTTCGCCCAGCCGTAGGGAAGGCGTGAATGATCCTCGTAGGAGGAGGGCTGGGTGGGCGGCGATTCGCCCATCAAGCTTATGAGGTTCCCAGGCGACCCGGCCAGGCCGCCCCGGATCCAGTCGGGGTTTGCGCTCACAGCCGTTCCGACGGACGCAGGCGTAGTCGAGAGGGCATCCAGGGGGGGGGAGATTGTCGGGTTGCCATCGTAGGAGGAGGGTGCGACGGGCCCAATATTGGGCGAGGCAACAGAGGAGGGAGGTGTGGCCGTGGGAGGCTTCGACGCGTTGCTACACGTCGGAGAAAACGTCAGCGGCTCGGTTCATGGAACAGAAAAGGCGAAGAACAAGGACCAAGTGCATGGCACGAGGTGGCAGTGGTCAAACATACGCGAACTTGCTGGCAGCAGCCAGCTTGCTCACGGCCGAGCTAACCCCTCCGCCATCTTTCGCGTTCTTCTTGTCTTTCTTCGAGCCTGGTACTTTTCAGTCAGAGGTTTCTTCCAAGATTTCGGCTGACTACAGTCTTCAGACTACGGTCTTCAGAAGGGACTCACTCGGCATTAAGTGGTGGTGCACAGGCAGCCAGAGCAGGTATCCCGCCCTGGTACTGGCGTTCCGCGGGGCAACGTCTCAGCGCGGACACCGGGGCAGCGGTTGCAAAGAGAGGGCGGGAGAGGCAACCTTGGGTCCGTTGTCAGGAAGTTTGACGATGCAAGTTGCTCGAAGAGTTGACGGTGTCGGATGCAGAGAGGATCGCTTTCTCGAGGCGACTCCAAAGGAGAAGTCGCGGTCGTGATGCTGTCGTGAAGGGAGCCGGAAGCCGCAGGACCAAGGGGTGGATCCTGTCCTGTAGGCAGAGCTCAGGGCGAGGAGAGCTGGGGGTTATTACTGAGGGTCGTGAGAGGCAAATCTATAAGGCACAAATAAAGAAAAGTTTCTACGTTTGGTTGATGCTATCGTGATTTCGTATGGTTCCGTGGTGTTTGTTGGTGACTGACTGACAGGAAGGGAGGGAACCAGAGGGGGAGATGGACACTCAGGTAAGGCATCGTAGGGTAGGAGGAGTAGCGTCCAGTCAGTCAGTGGAGATGCGACACGGAAGACGGGGGGGGCGCGGCGGCGGGGGGCTTTGCGTGCTCTGGGCCGTGGCCGGGGGTCCTTTGGGGGGGGGGCCTGCTGAATGGGGTGACGGATGCCTGGGGTGTCTCGCTAAAAAAGGGTGCTGAGAGGGGTGTGATACTCTCAGTTCCAGTGGGATGGCGCTACATCTGGCCCGCTGCCAGATGGAGAAACAGGGGTGGGCAGGTGGGAAGGCGTCAAAGGGCGGGGGAAGCAGGTACCTTATCGCTCGCCTCCTACCGTGGTGGAAGGTAGGTACCTACCTAGGTACATTTCCCCTCTTCTGCCGTCTGCCCACCTGCGTGTCTATTCTACAGTGACCTAGGTACCCAAAGAATAATAAGGTAGGTATAGGTAGGTAGGTAGGTTCCTCCCTGCACGGCCGACGTCAGCCCCTCATCGCTCTGACTATTCTCGCCTCTCCGTCCAACATACCAGTCAGGTACAATCAGTACCTTGGGTACCTACGACAAGAGGTCGGCATGGCCTCAATCTCCCGAAGCACCGCCTTTGCCCGCATGGCATTCATTCCCCATGCCACCAAGAGCCACTTCATCTCAATCGCCCATCAGACGACGCAATCGGATGCCCCAACACATGTACCCTCACCCTCACCCTCACTCTCACCCGTGCACCCCGTCTCTATCCTCGGCCACCCACACACACACACACATACACACACACACATCCCAAGGCGGCAAGGGCGCCAGGCACGCTGCGCAGTCTTGTGCCGTGCCCGGGCAGCGCCGAAGCCTCAGAAGGTACAAGCTGCTGACGAGCTGTGGTCGGCCTCGCGCAGTCAAACGGAACAGTCACACGCCGATGCGTCAATCATCCTGATCATGACCGTGGGCCCCCCCCCTTTCTGCTGACGCCAGCCACCGCCGTGAGGAACAGACCTAGCGACAAGCAAGGCATGAAAACGGACATCTCCCTGTCCCGGATAATTCATCTAACAACAACAAACTTGACTTTGACTGCCTGGGGAACTTTGACGTGCCAGGTCAACCCATCATGCAAGTCGCGCGAATGTACCCCGCTAGCTTGGGCCCCAGCCAGAATGCCATGTTGCCAGATCAATGCCAGCTGATGGGAGCACGCTGAACAGTCCCCGCCGCCTGTGTGAGTGCCCTCCATAGGTACCGACCTTGGGTACAACAGGAGTGTGGTCAGGTGAGCTGGCCACTCAGCGCCGGATCGAGGCCCACGAGAACACGGCAGCGGGACATTGGACGCATCGCACGCGCTGACGTAGGAGGGGGCCGTTCGGTTTCTTTGTGGTCGCTCGCGTTTCATCGCGGTAGCAAGGCTCGCGGACCCCCGTTATGTCATCGCTCTCTGGGCGGCGAAGCCAGGCCGCCAGGCAGGCTAGCTTCGGGATAAACCCAGCACGGGATCACTTGATAATCACTTGATACTCTGACACGCGTTTGGCCTCGCCCTGGCGTCCTGCTCCGGCCGGTTTCCAGTCTCGCAGCCGGCATGCTTATCTCATCTTGGGTGGGTACCTGGGCCGCCAGCTGTCAACTGTGTACCTAGGTACCGACAGTGCCGACACCTGCCCGCCAATGCCATCTTCAACATCACCGCAGAGCATCTTGGCCCTTCTTATCGCCCCCCCTTCGTCGAAGAACGTCAGCTTCGGTCAGATCGGGCAAGGACGTCACTGGGAAGCGAACCAGGCCAGGCAACATGATGGAGGACTCCACGCCACGCACCGGCGAGCCGCAGGACCAGTACAGCCGCATCAACCCCTTCCCCGAGACCACCATCCTCGGCCCCGCCCTCCAGCAGGAACTCGTCCAGGCGATCCAGAACTTCTACCGCGTCAGCGACGATCCCGCCGCCAACGACACGTGGCTCGGCTACTTCACGCGGGATGCAAAGGCCATCATGGCCGGCGCCGGCGCCCAGGGGACCGACGCCATCCGCCGCTTCCGCGCCGCCATGTGGCAGGACGTCAAGGCGCGGTCGCACTGGGCCAGCAGCGCCTACGTCGGCGACGTGACGGAGGGCCGCGTCCAGCTCATGCTCGAGGGCCTCGTGACGAGGGTCGCGCCCGACGAGCGGGAGACGGTCCTGAGCTGGGCCGGCCGCGCCGTGTGGGAGAAGCACGACGGGGCGTGGAAGATGTCGTTCTACCAGGTCTGGCTCAGCGAGAAGACGGCGTTGGAGTGGGTGCCGGCCGAGGCATGAGGCCGTGTCGGTCGAGGCAGTCGTGCTTGCGCCGCCACGCAAGACCTCTCTCTCTCCCTCTCTCTCTCTCTCTCTCAGCCGGATGCACGATAGAGCTGACACGGCGCTCTCGTTGGCCGTCCTGGTTGCTGTCTCATCAAAACGGTAGACGAGGACGTGCGGATTTGCAATCGTTCCACATGTCCTGTCTGCCTCCCCCAACGTATAGCAGCACAAAACGTAAGCGCCCTCGAATGGCGAATGGCTACATAGAGGATGTGATGAATAGAATACCCCCTTGGCTACCTGGACGCCCAACCCATAGCTTACCCACACAGCCATGACACTGTCAAAATGAACCCTGATCCTCAAAACGCTGCTAGTTGCCGTCACCCCTAAATAGCCTCCGACCCCCCCCCCCCGGACCAGCGCAGCACGCGGCGTGGCTACAGCCATCCCTCGCGTCCGGTCTGCTCGTCAGGTCAGGAAGCGAGCCGTCACGTCCATCAGGCCTTGACCCCCCTCGCCGTCACCTCGCCCTTTTCCCCAATGTTCAGAGCAACCCTGCACTCGGGACAATACCATTTCGTTGTCCGCGCCGGAATAGCGCTCAAGCCGACGCACTCCAGATGGAACCACTCCTTCAGACAATTCTGCCGGTCACGGGCACGTCAGCGCGCAGTCCACACTATGGCGAGCGGGAAGGGGTGGGGAGATCGTGAGAGCAGGAGAAAAAACTCACCGTATTATCACAGCTGATCATGACGCCAAAGCTCACGCGGTCGCAGAGGCAATAGCGCGCCTCGTCCGCGTCAATCGGGTTCCCCTCGTCATCGACCTCTTCCGTCTCCTCCACCATCTGCTGCTGCCCGTTGCTCTTCTTCTGCGGCCGCACGCGCTTCTTCACGCTGGGTGCCTTTTTGCGCTTGCCGACGGCGCTGCTACCGCCTGACGTTGTCGTGCTCACGACACCTGGCGCGGGCCGCCTCGTCCGCTTGCTCGTCTGCCGTGCCGCGAGGGCGGCGGCCACGGCGGCGGCGTCAGGCACGGGCGTGTTCCGCGCTGTGCTGGCGCGCCGCGGCCGGTCCGTCGCCAGCGAGGGCTGCGACTCTTGACTCGAAGCTTGGCCTCGGGAGGCAGGACGCGCGCGGGGAAATGTGCCGTCTGGGCCCGGCGTGAGGCCCGGCGTGCTGGATCGGGACTTGCTTTGCTTGATGGAGGGCGCGGCGGACGACTGGCGTAGCTGGCGTGGCTCTGGCAGCTGGTCGGTGTGCTCCAGCTGGAGCGGTGGCAGGACAGGAGCGGACTGCTGGGAGGCTTCAGACTCCGAGAACGACGGCTTCTTCGCCACGTCGCCCCTCGTCTCTCTTTTGGATGACTGGGGAATGGGAGGAAGGATCGGTGTGGTGGATTTTCTTGGTGATAAAATGGGCGCTGGGACGGGGGTCTCGGCAGGAGGTTTGACAGGAATGACCGTCGTGATGGTGCCAGCACCAGCGCCATTTTCTTTGGACAGTGCCGGCGACACCGTCCTCTTGGTCGCGTCCTGCCCGGGGACAGGGAGCGGTACTGGCGTGGTCGAATGCGGTGTCACGGCGGTTCCCCCTGGCGTCAAGACAGGCGGGAGAACGGGCGTCTCGGTCAGCGGCTGGGTGCTCAGGCTTGCGCGTAGATGAGGAAGCGGCACGGGCGTTTCCGTCTTGGTCCGTTTGGCAGGCGGCGGCCGTGGCGCGGCCTTCTCTGGCTCGCCACTCTTTGGAGGCTCTGGCTCCGTCGCCGAATCCCTCTTGCGCTTGTGGCTTCGATTGGCCGAAGCGGGGGGCTTGCCCGACGTCTTCGCTTGCGAGTTGGACTGCGGCTGCTGGGGCGTCATCAGCATCCTCGCCGTTTCATTAAACAGGCGGGCAGATTCCTCGGCCTCCTCGGCGGCCTGTTTCGCGAGCGACTCTCTCTTCAGCTTCTTGGCTTCGTTGAGCTTCATGCCCCTGTTGCTCAGCTGGACCTCATCCGACTGCAGAGCGGCCGCGCTCAGAGCGCCCTCGGGCGTCTGCTGGTTGCCGTTCTCGGACTCGGCCGCAATGGCCGAAGGGGCGGGGTCAAAGGCGATGCCTTCCTCCTCCGCCTTTCTCTTCGCCTCTCGGTACGCATCAATGCCACGGCCGAGGTCGTTCAGCTCTCGCGAGATCATGGTGTCGCTAGGTGTCCACTGGGCATTCTTCTTCATGCGCTTTCGCAGCTTGGCGAGCTCCCACGCGGTCAGTTGGAGCCACGGGGCGTCTGCGCTGCCTATCACGGCATTCTCGGGCGGCTTCTTCGGCGGCGGCAGGGGTGTGGCGGGCGGCGCAACCGCCGAACCTGCTCCGCCCGCCGACTTGGGCGGTCTCGAGCCGGGTGCCTTGGGCGTCTTTTGCGGCTTGGGCGTCTTGGGCGGCTTCATGAGCTTGACGCGCGCGTTGGACGCCGCGCCGGCCTTGTACGGCGCAATGTCCATGTCCTCGTCGTCGGAGCTCTCGTCGCTATCGGAGCTGTAGGCCTCAAAGTTGTCGTACGGCGCCAGGACCTCGCCGGGGACGGTGATGCGCGGGATCATCTGACGCCGCGCCTTCTCGCCGTGGCCCAGGCGCAGCGTCGGCTTCGGCGCCCTCGCCAGCTGCGGCGACTTGGACACGGCCACGGGGCTCTTCTGCTCTTCTTCCGTCGGGTAGTTTTCGAACATGGTCTGCAGTTTGGACAGGATCAGCTTGACGCGGTTGTAGTGGCGGTTCACATTCTCGTCCATGCGCATGGCCTCGGCGTGCGCAAACGCCCGCGAGCTGACGGTCCGGTTGAGGCCGTCTGAGATGGCGGCGCGAAGCTGGCTCGGTGCGGGACGCGTGTCGGCGGGGATCTTGGGAAGCTGGCCCCATGTGGTCGTCATGTTGTGTACGTCCAGTGAGGCGTCGTGGTAGCGGGCATCGAGCTGGCCGATCAACGTCAGGGAGCGCATCATGTCGGACGGGAGATACTCGGTAAAGTCGAGAAAGTCGGTGACCGTGGCTTGGGCATCCGGATCGGCGCGCATTTGAAGTGCATTCAGAGGGTTGTTGATGGCACGGAGGGGGGGTTGCGGCATGTCTTGCTCCATGGCTGTCTTGTCTTTTGGAGAGACTGCGTCCTCAGCCTCCGCCGAGGCGTCGACGGCAGCCATGGTAGGCGATGGTGTCAAGGAAATGACGGGTCCGTCGTGGGAAGCACGCGTCTTGTCGAGCCTTGGCGGTGCAGGAGTGTCGAGGAGTCGAGTAACGCGATGCTCGAAAGGATGCACGAGGGGGGGTGGGTGGCAGTTGGAAGGCAGGTCGCGTTCGACGAGGGACGTGGAGGTTGTACACGAATGCGCGAGGCTCTCTGGGCTGCTTGTCCGCGCGCTAAGCCCCAATGGAGCTCAAGCTTCAAGGGGGGGGGGGGGTTCAGAGCAAGGCCCCTGCATGCGGGCGATTGGTTCGTGCGCCAGCCATGTGTGGGTCGCGCTGCTCTGACATCACCCAAGTGCCGAGGTTTGCCCGCGTTGCTGCCTCTGGTGCCTCTATTGCCTCTGGTGCCTCTGGTGCCTCTGGTGCCTCTGGTGCCTGGCTACAATGACAAGCTGTCTTGCCCTGCAAGCTCTGCAAGACACTGCCATGTCTACCTTTGCATGGACAACGAATGCACTTGCTCCCAAGAGTACCTATACATAGTAGATGGCAGTATGAGTCGACGCTCGTCGTGGGCCTGGGAATGTACTGTGAGTGCGTGTCGTACGAAGGCGGAGACCGCGAAATTCAAATCACTACAAGCTTTGCTTTCGCATCAAGCACGCTGTTTGCTGCTTACCTACCTAGGCAAGGTACGTAGTTTATGGGCCTACCAGGTCATTGGAATCGACACATGGGCAACACTTCTCACACCTCTTTCGACCTCGTAACCCTAGTTTTCCCTGAAACTCCGTCTCGAGAGACACAGTCATCAGCCAGAGTTCCCTCTACCAAGTGAACCCTTGCTCAGCCCTGTGGTCGATCTGAGCTTCTAGTCACCACGCCATCGGACCCCCTTGCGAGATTGAACAGCTTCTTGTTGAAACAACACATACTCGGTATACATAGGAAGTAAAATACAAACCATAAAGCTAGCCGTCCCTGCGCCATCCACACCCAAGCTCATCATGCAATTGCGGCACAGACATCGACGATTCGATCTCTCGTTCTGAGCATAGAGTCGCATTGTCATGGTCCCTGGACCTCTCTGGCACGTCCCATTTTCAAGCCTTTCGACGGCTCATTCTGCCCGCCTGCCGACTTACGCCTCACCACCAACAAAGGCGAGCGCCAACCCCGTGAAGAATGTCGCGCCCACCCACGGCAGGGCATACGCCGCGGCACCACGGGTCTCGACCCCGCCGACTGTCATGTGCGTCTGCAGGTACGTGTTGATGCCCGTGACGGCCATCGCAACTCCGGTGCGGAGAATGATGACTTTGGCGCGCGAGGTGTAGCCCCAGAGGTTGAACGCGACTGTCTCGCCGAGCGTCGCGGTAACGGGATCGAACTCGCCCAGGCGGCCGTCCTCCTTGCTGCGGCCCGTCGCGGCAAAGGGCGTGAAGATGAAGGTGCGCGCCGCGAAGCCGAAAGCCAAGGTGATGGGCAGGATAGTCAGGTAGTTCGCCGTGTAGGCAGGCGTCAGGCTAGGAATGTTCTCAAAGTAGAGGATCAGGCTAGTCGGGAGGAACGTGTGCAGGGCGATGAAGAGGGTGATGCCGTAGATCAAGGCCGAGAGGAGAGTGGTGTAGATCTGGATAGGCGCATCGGTGATGATCTCGCGGTTCGCGACTCCCTTGGAACCGGGGGCGTGGGCGCCCGAGAGGGGTCGAAGGGCAGTGAAAGGCGCAAAGGTGGAGAGCATCTCAATGCCGAGAGCCGACAGCACGGTCGGCGTGCTAATGTTGTAAAAGGTGGACAAGAGGTAGAACTGGGTGGCGAGATGGTCAGCAGAGCG